GGGGGAATTGGGCCAAATTAAACATAATCCAAATGCATGGACCCATATAGCATGGTCAAAGTTTCATCCACCACACAAATGTAGAACATTCAACAAAGTGGTAGAGACAGACATTTAATGCCTAAAATCCTACCACCTGCAATATTTTCGTCGTTTTTTCTTCACTTTTAATCTTTTTTTTTTTATTTATCGGAGACAAATACTTGGATCGATTCTGATTTTGTTTAGCCATTGTAGACATGCTTTTAATTTATACATGCCTTACATCATGAAAAACAAATTTCAGCCAAGTAGTTACGTCTTTGTTTGTCGAAAATTTCTTTGACTAAAATCAAATCAATCGCAATATTGTAGTTTTTTTTTTTTGTTCTTAACCAAGAAAATCATATTATCAAATTGCACTGCCATTTGGAACTCAAAAGAAATATGTTGTGTCGAAATAGTTTTTTCGGTGACTGTGATTATGAGTGTGGAATGTAAAGTGAAAATGTGTCTGATTTTTATTTTATTTATAAGCACCTACAGAAGTCTATTAACTAATTAGTGTAAATACCAACAAATCAAGAGCATGATTAGTTGAAAATATTTTGATAACTGGAAAAATATGAACTATATAATAGTGGCGCATTTGATATGATTTTTGAAACTGAAATTTATGTTCCACCAACTAAAGATTTTATATTTAGAGTCAAAATTTATAATTTTGTTTGTATTTATTAATTAGACATGTGCTTCTATCATATAAAAATTATTATTTTTTCTTAAGTTATTGTTATCATTCAAAATCAATTGAGATTTAAATTGTATTTTAACCACGCAACGTTTATATTAGTAACATGAATAAAATAATTTATATATTTGTAGCATATATTAAGAAACTTAACATAAATAAAAAAATTATTAGTGTTTCTGATTTTCAGAAAAAAAAATATATGTGCCAATCATGCACAAATGTACATATAATATTATAAGTAATTTTTGAGAATTTAATATTAAAATTTTAGATAATGAACATATTACATTTTCAAAAATTTGATCATTAGAAAAAAAATAACGATTTTATTATTATTAACAATTGTATATTACCATTCGATACTAATTGTTTAATTATTATTATTATTATTATTATTTTTATTATTATTAAAACAATTGTTTATAAGATTATAAAGTTGTTTGACTATGCTATTAAAATAATTTACTAATTGTTTTTAAAGAAATTTTTGTCATGAGATACAAAAAAAAAAGATAATATTGATGTTAAAATAAATAACTTCAAACAATTGTTCTTAATTATGTAATTTATATTTATTGTGAATTATTATTAATTGGTATTAGCAATAATTATTATATAATATAATAGAAAAATAAATGATTATACTCATTATGATGTATTAATGTGAGAAATAAAAAATATTAATGATAATTTTTGTAACCGAAAATGGAGGGAAAATGTTAGAGGTTTTATTAAATAGGTAAAATTAAATGTTATATGCTAACAATTATATATATATAGATAATAATAATGTAATATCAATAATAATATCCTAATAAGAATTAGGATGCATTTGAACCCATTTTACGACTAATTAAGACTGAGTATTATTTGCCCTTAGACTAATTTAATAAATATAATCACATTTACGTAATGGTTGGCTTGAGTGCGTACAGTGACTTCATAATAATACAACTGAAAACTACTGATTTGATAGTTGTATTATATGGTACGTGGTGACAAAGCCTACGTTCAGATATTTGTTGAACGAATTATATCAAATGTTTAAATTAATTGATAAACATTATTTATAAATTTCTATTTTATTTAATTTTATTTATAATAATTTTAAATATAGCAAAAATTATTTAGAAAATCGTATTGATCCTACCAGTTCAATCGACTGGCATTGACGGATTCAATATCAAATATTTTATTCCAGTGAACTAGACTGATTATAAACTGATTCTCAGTCTATCCGGTCGGACTGTGTCCAACACGGTTTAATTTTAAAACCATGGATAAATTTTGATTAATTTATTTGTATATTGAATTTATAACACAATCATAATATTGTTTTCTCATGCATCGCACGGGCCACGTACTAGTTATTTTCTTGAGTTGTTCAGCTTGATGGATACATTCGCAAACAATGATTTACAATTGAGATATATTTTAAGAATATATAGAATAGAGATTTATGCAAATACAACTTAAAGGTACTATAAATTAAACTTCAGATATCACAGTTTTTTTAAATAATTCAAAGTTAGTAATAATAATAATAAGCTTTACTTTAAATAAGAAGATATATTTTGAAATAATCCTCCCTATATATAATTCCAGAATGCGTTGAGCCTACGTGGCTACTTCTGGTGCTTCGTAATCCTACTTGGCGAAGAATCATGCTTCGTAATTAGGTTTGGACAAATAATATTGATATATTAATACTTAATAATCTAGGTTCGGACATTTCATAAATTTTATTTATCTAATTTAGGTATTTTAATATCACTTGTACTAATTTTAAAAGTTGATAACTTTTGTATTTCTTATCAGTTTTACATATATTATATATCAAATTAATCATCTTTTGATGATTTTCGATTTACATCCATATTGTATATATGAAATAAATTTATATTTGTCTTTATAATAATAAAGAATAATAATATTTATTAAAATTCATTAAAAAAATAAACTTATTTATCAATTGATATATTTATTTTTAATGTAGTTATATGTTGTAAGTTAAAAAATTATTATAATATGACAGATAAGTCGCACAAATAAAAAGTGTCATACTATATATAATATATATATATATTTGTAAAAGATATTTAAAATTTCAACTACTTTTTTCATTAATTTTAGATTTTAAAAAAAAAAATTAGCAAGCACCCGTGTAATAGACGGGTGTTGTACTAGTACAAAATAAAGCAAAAAAAATGGCAATAGAAGCCTAGGAGAAAATTACTTTCCTCCCTCGACATATATTTTTTACTTTTAGACAAAAATGTTACGTTAATTTTTTTGGTACATTTTTACGTAACATTATTATTATTTTCTTTTGAAATATCGACACCATGGGCCGATAAGGCCAAATCGGGTCAGGACCAACCACGCGCTACCACTCATAAGCTCAGTCGCGCCTCCCTCCGCCAACGACCTACATTCTAGCACCCAGTTGGAGTTTTCCTTAGCGTGCATTCAACTCTCATTAACCAACTCACTGCCGCCAGTTTTGGAGGCCTGGTAAGCCATTGTGCCGAACTATGGGCAGAGCCTTAGCGGGTTGCCGCACTCCTTCGTTGGGAGCTGAGTCCATGGATCGTCGATCGTTGAAGTCGTGCAATGATGCGGATGGGCAAAGTGTGAATGAGAAATTTAGGAGTTTGTTGGGATGTGCAAAGAGGAATTTTGGTTAATTGAGAGGTGAGGAAAATTTGTGGCATCAATTGGTATTTTTTTTCTAATATTTATCTCATAATCAATAAAGATACTGTTTCCTAAAGGTATGTATCAGTTACCTATTTTTGGCTTCGATTGGATAGAGAGATTATGAGATAACTAATTGACATGTGCAAATAAAAATCTTTTGTTGCAATAAAATTGCACTCGATAGAAAATATATTGTAGACATGTGTACTTTAGCCAAAGTCTAAAATGGGCAACCAAGAAAATGGCTTTGCTAACAACTCCAATTGTCCTCATTGAATAGGGTTGTAATCCTCAAGACTTTTGGAAAATGCTACGATCCCGTTACGGTACTATCCCTTTAACCGTTGGATCATTTATCTTATACTAACTACATGTGTATCCAACGTTAAAACACCCGACGGGATGGTACCATAACGAGACCGTAGCATTTTCCTAGGCCTTATGAATACTTATTTCCTTTTATCATTTTGTAGTTTTCTCTCATCCTCGATTGAGCCCAGTTCAGGTCATCTACCTCAACCGGTCTCAAGGTCAATGGTTAATTGAATAATTGATGGTGGTCGATTCAAACTCGAGAGCACATCTCAAAATCTGGAATAAACCAAATTTAAAAGAAGAAGATGGCGATGAAGAAGAGACCTTGTAGGATGGAAAGAGAGAAAACTTAAGAACAATTACAAAAGGGTCAGGTCCATACAGATTGTGAACATCAAACTTCTAACCGGATCAAAAAATAAAAAATAAAAAACCATAAGAGCAAACAAAAGCTTATCACCTGCCACCAAAAGTTGCAACAGAAAAAAGCTCAAGCCGACTTTTTAGCCTCAGCATCTGCTTCCTCTTCTTGTAACTTTTTGAGAGATGGTGGCGGCCTTGGCACAATACTTTTCTTCCATTTGAAGTCGAGCTTTCTCGACAGCCTCTTGTTGATCCCTTCCTCCAACTCCCTCTCTCTTTTCACGGTTAGCATACGCGCAATCTTTCATTCACATCACCATAACCATTTAAAATACGAAGAAAAAAAAAACGATACTAGGACATAAATGTTGCATATAGATAGTTTCTAACATTTGGTTGGTACTTGCAACATACTACAAGAGCATTAATTAAGGTTTAACGATCAAGAAAATCGACAGCACCTAAAATTTTTCTACCTCTGCTTGAGGTGCAGCTGACAAAGAATCCACCTTTTAAGTTATGAAAGGAGTGTTTAATGGTTTATCCTCGAGTATTTTTCCAATATTAAGTAATATTACATATATATACACCGATAAGTTTCAGATATTACCCTCCCCACAATATGTAACAAGTGAACCAACATTATGCATTTGCCTATTGGTATATGTTTGAATATCCATATCATATTCAAGAGTAATTTTTTCACTGAGAGAAAAACTAGCCACATCACACCAAGTATCAACCACCAATTTCAAAACATAAAATAAAACTCCATGCCAAAATTCACCTGCATTTTAGTTTAGAGTTGATATATCAAGTATCAGCCACCAATGTCTCGAAATATAATATAGAACTCAACGCCAAAATTCAGCTGCGTTTTAGTTTAGAGATAGTATATCATCAAGTAAGTATCAAGCCACCACTGCAAACTTGATTATAGAACTTAATGCCATAATTCAGTTGAATTATAGTTTAGAGCCGATATATCATCAAGCCCCAACCACCAATATCAGAACAGAATATAGAGTTCAATGTCAATTTTCAGCTAAACTTTTAGTTTAAATCTCATATATATTTTTCATAAAAATTCAGCGTATTCCAAAGAGTCATTTCATCATACACCTCTCGTGCACCCTCACAAACTCCATCCATCAAAATCCAAAACTCAATTCTGATTTCTGAACAAGTACAGAAAGAAAAGTAAATAACTCAATATAAATGCACATTCTCAGAAAGCAAAAAAACAACAAATTGACGAAAAAAATAGGAGGGTAAGAGAAAAGATGTACCCTTTTGCGCATAAGGCGAAACTCGCTAGACTTGAACTCATTCCTGGCCGATCTCTGTAGGCGGAGCATGAAAAGCTCGCCTTTAAGGTCCACAATCTCTTCATTGAGCTCCTCCGTCGACTTAGCCCTGATGTCCTTCAGCTCCTCCCCTCTTTTAGCCATCATCACCACCGACACGGAGGACGAGGCCCGACCGGACGACAGGCTGGGGCGGCGCGTGGGGAGAAAATGCGAGATTCGTAAGCCATTGAACGATGATGATAGTGATGGCTTGGGAAGGTTCGATTTGGGAGGGAAAATGGTGCTCGAGATTGTGAGGCTAGTCATCCTTTGTGGTTGTTCTTCTGCGGATAAGGCTTTTTTTTTTTATTTTTCTCCATGTTTTTCTTTCCTTTTTTGTTTTTCAAGCATATTGACTTTCTTAGTCCTCAAACTCTGGGCTGTTCCCACTTTCACCCCCCTCATATCTCAAATATCTTATAAGTAGACCCTGATTTTAGTGGATAATCGAGGTCATTTATCGACCACATTTTTTTTTAGGTAAAATATTTTTTCTCATCTGAACTATTACGGTTTTGGCGCATCATCATATAAATTATTTTTTTTACAAACCACCATATGAACTAGACGAGATTGTGAATGTGCCCCCTAAACCGGATATAAAAGTGGTTTTGACTGAAAAAAACTGTTTTTTAATGGCATTTTAGTAATTTCACACATTTTGCAGAAAAATGAAAAAATGAAGAAGTTGGTTTCAAAAAAATAAAAAATAAAAAGTAAAGAAAATGACAAATGAAACTAGTTCCAAAATTCCTTGAACCATAAATACCTGCTACGCCACAAGAGCCCCTGATGGCCTGCACCGTCGCCGGCCCCACCACCTCCTCCCGCCACGTACCCACAATGAGCTCGACGTGATGTGCCCTCAATTGTCGTTGCATGCATCGGTTTACACTGCGAATGGGAGGTGGTGGTGGGGCCAGCGACGGTGCAGGCCGGCGGGGGCTTCGGTGGCGTAGCAGGTATTTCTGATCCAAGACATTTTGGAACGAGTCTCATTTCTCATTTTATTTTTTATTTTTTATTTTATTTTTTAAAACCAACTTATTCATTTTTATTTTTTTTTTTTCTGAATAATGTGTGAAATTACTAAAATGTCATTAAAAACAACTTTTTTTAATCAAAACTACTTTTATATCCGGTTTAGGGGCACATTGACAAACCCGTTCATATGATGGTTTGTAAAAAAAATAGTTTATATGGTGATGCACCAAAACGGTGATAGTTCGGATGGAAAAAAATATTTTACCCTTTTTTTGGTACAATTTATCGACCACACTTTGCTATTTATAAAATGTGTACTTAAATTCTAAAAAAATGAAAAATATTTTTATTTTAATTCTAAATACTTCTAATCAGTTATTGCATTATTGTATATATTTAGAATGACACTGTTCACTTGTAAAATATATGTGTTTTATATTATAATACTTCAATTTGATTGTTTTATAGATAATTATTAAATTGGTATTATTAATTTTAATGAATATTCATGCAATTTACTTTTTTACAATAAAGATAGATACAATTATGTATTTATTTTATTTGTCCATTGTGAATCTCAAATCAAAAGTTTTCAATAGAGTGTTAATTTGATATTTCACATTTAAGAGGTTGATAACAAATATAAAATTTAGTAATTTTTAGAATATGTATAATTTAAATAGTAAAATGTTTTATAATTAAAAAATTATAATGGTTTATGAACAAAAGTCTGAAATCTACCTGACTAATTTAAAGTTTAAACCACCATAATTGACTAGAAAAACACTTTATTTATTTAAATATAGGGAGAGATATAATATTTAAATGAAGAATAATTTTAGATTTTTACTAAAAAAAAATGTATTGTTTATTTATTTATTTGTTTGTTTATGAGAGTGTGTACTCATCGTGGAAAATGTGACAATATTGGCTCCTCTTTAGAAACCCAAAGTCGTGTGTAGCGCTGCAACGAATCTAGGCTCGCGATTGCTCGAGTCAAAGCTCGACTCGAGCTCGAGCGGTTTGAGCACGAACTCCGAACTCGAGCTTATAGTTTTTCTTGTCGAGCAGTTCGAGATAGACATGAAATTACTAAATATTCCTTATTATACATATTAACATAGATGATTTATGGTAATTTTACTTTTTTGGCTTAGAAATTTTCGAGCCGTACTCGAGCTCGTAATTTTTTATCGAGTCGAAATCGAGCCTCAAAAATTAAGCTCGAG